GCTCCCCAAGAGGAAAGTAATTTTCCTCTGGGATTATTAAGGAAAAAAAAAAAAAAAAAAAAAAGAATATCTTAGGAAATCTTTGTGAAAGCAGATAAATGAAGGCAACATCCTCTTACTGTCACAGACCCCTTGCCAATCCCTGTGCTGGACCACAGTGTGGATGTGTCCTTAGGAACTAAAAGTATCAGACTAGCAGACCCTGTCCAGTTTTCCTCAGGTTCAAAGAAATGATTGCTGCCCTTCTTCCACTTTTCCAGAATGTCAGCTTCACACTGTGAAGGACCTTTCATCTTGTTCAAAGTTGTTAGTGGAATACCGCTGTACATCAGGGCAGAGCTCAGAAGAGAAAACCCTTTAATAAACTTATAGGGCAGAGATTGTGTGCAGCGTGCACATTCTGTGTCCGACTGCTCTGTGTTTCTGTGTAATTCAGTGTGTAGTTATCCGGTGAAGCTGTCAATTGAGCTCCACAGTAAATGCACCCTTACCTAATCCCTCCCTCTCCTCCTGTGCAGGTGTCTGACAGGTGTGACTATGTTTTTGTGAACGGCAAGGAGATGAAGGGCAAGATGAAGATGATGGTGAATTTCACTTACGGATACCTCAGCGCTCAGCTGGAGCTCTGTGTGTGGATCCCTCGTCTCCCCCTCCAGATTGAGGTGTCAGATACGGAGCTGAGCCAGATCAAAGGGTGGAAGGTGCCCATCGCAGGCACAGGTCAAAGGTAAGACAGCACATCAACCTGTCTGCTGGATCCACCGCTGTATCTATGAGCTCAATCCTGAAAAGCATCTGAAAAGGATAAACCTACACTCTATTCATCTTGTGTTGCCTAGATTTCATCATTTTGATTTACAAAAATTACATAGAAATGAGTTTTACAGTTGATATAATAATAGGACAAATTGGTCATGCAGGTATAAACACATATCTGTGTTAATCACTGAAACATGATTAAAACCATAGACTTCATGCAGACTCATTTTAAATGACCTGTAATCAAACCATATGAATTACATTTTTTTTAAAGGATAGACCTGTTACTAAATACCTTTTTTAGATTAATTGATTAATCTAAATAACTAATTTTATCCACACAAAATTGTCTATTTTATTACATACGTTTTTATTACTACATACATTAGAACAGTGCAGTTAATTGTATTTGCAAAATAAAACAGTAGACGTCTCAATGTAGCTGTTTAGGTGGCAGTTATGCGCTTAATGTGATTTTTCCTACACAAAGAAAAGAGGAGTGAGTTGCAAATAGCACGCAGACAAATGCATATAAGTAGAAGAGAGCACTTTTTCAAACTTTTTTCACAGTCCTGCACCAATAGATGCTTGTAAAGCAAGCTTTCAGGGTCATGACAAAAATGTAAACACTGGACTGAAACATCTACATGCATGTGGTTTGTTCAAAGGAAAATCGAACATAAAATCGCTGTTCTGGTTGAAAATATTCGCATTTTTTATTTTTGGCATAATTATTCAGTCCACATACTGTATTGTAAAACATGCATGACACACAATCTATGCAAAATTGTATACTTATATACTTAAGTGCCTTACTGTATTACTGCATTTTCAGATTTTTTGTATGTTTTATAATGAAGAAAATTATAATTAATTTTCAATTTCCATTATATGAAAGTTCTTTAATTTGTTGCCAGTCCCTAAACAAACCAGGGTTTAAGCTGCTATCAGCAGTTCTCCCTGGTGACCTCACATGCACAGCTAAGCCAGTTGCAAAAGTTAGATGCAGTAACCCCTTTCAGAATCAGAATCAGAATCGGGTTTATTGCCATTGTTAGTGAAGGAGTTCACAACTAGGAATTT